GTTCACGTCACATTCTCCAAAATTGGCCGGGAAACCTATATTATTGGACTGTTTTGTAGTTGTGTGCTTGTTTATCTTTCTAGCTAAAACCTTTTTCAATTCATGAAAATTATATTGTTATACATATTATGCCTCCGGTCGCCCTACCTTAGGTACGTAAAGATGATTAGTTCATGGTTTATGCTATCAAAATGCACTTTAAGCCAGTTCTGCCTTCGGCCTACTTTTTTCAAGGTCCACTCTCGGATCGTGTAATTAATAACAGCGCAATTATTAGCCGTTCTACCCCCCCCCCCTTCATTGCGATTGGACTGTGCGAACCTTCCCTAATCCCTGATTGGCTGCAAATTTAGTGGAGCGTGATCATTACACCGCCGAGTCGCAAGAGTGCACATGCGCAATCCTTTTTCCACCGGCGAGAAAGGGGAGTGGCTTGTGGTGGAAACATAATATGCAGTAGAACCTACGCGCTTAAGTAATAAGTAGTACTTTAATTAATATCGCAAGTCGTACAGTTATTTGCATCTATGGCCAAAGTTTACTCTCGATTTGCCGCTTCGATAGGCGTACCTGGAAGAATTCACCACAGTCGACGTGATTAGGACAACGTATGCGCAGTTTACCAAGACCAGTCCTGTGCGCCTATAGTGCCAAAAAAAGTAGTTCTGAAAAGGTGGAAGGAAAGAAAACGAAGATCAGTCGCTAGTTTCGTATAAGATTAAACTTGGACCAACTAAATAAAGATTAAATCAATATATCAATGGAATTAGACCAGGGGACAAACTGCCCTAGGGGGCCAAAATCCCGTAGCTTGGGGACATGTTTCTCTGGGATATTATTTTCCCTTGGGACTCTTGTGAAGGGGAACACAGCTTTCTCTGTGACAAGACTGCGATATACTAGTTGAAAAGTTTTATAAAAGAGAGGCTTTTGTTCGTAGGAGAGTTTAAGCTGTAAGTGAGGATGCAAAGATTATTTTCCTTAACTATTTTTGCCGGTTTTCTTTCACATTTTCATGTCGCTCGTTTGGTAAGTTTACATTTGTTTTTTGCAAGTGTATATAATACGGGCGATTCATAATAGTCGCCTTCAAGAGTTTACAACACGTTGACCAATCACAGTGGGTGAAATCTGTCGACCCAAGTGCGCGTTTAGAAAGGGTTGACAAATTTTGCGGACTGTGATTGGCCAACGCGTTGCAAACTCTTGGAGACGTGCTATTGTGAATCGACCGTATTGCATCAAATCAGAGCAGGTTCCGGTGTGAACTATAGTTCACACTAGTTTAGTTTATAGTTCACTAGTTTAGCCACTAGTCAATCGCGTTTTTTTCCAACGTTAATTAACGCGCAATACAGTTACTCCCAAACGGCCTTAGTTGAAATTGAACATATTTTGCCGTTTTTTGCTGAACTTTCGCAACCTTTTCCAGGGCCAAATGGTCGATTACTGTGGTACAAACAATCCACCGTTGTAGCGACGTTGGTCGAAATTGTTCCCCTGCCGTTTAAATGTATTATTTTAACGGTGAAAGGTGATCAATTCCAATGTATTTTCAAGCAAAGTTGGGATGTTAACCTTTTTCCTCTTTTTTTTTCATTACTCCCGTATTCTTTCCCCTTTGTTTCACGGCCCATTTTATTTGTCTCTTTTTTTCGGGGACAAAGACCCCGCCCACGAATAATGTTTCTATTGGCTTGTTGCATTGAGTATACTGGTATATATTCGTGACTTTCATCTTATTTTTGACATCAGATGGTAAACACTGCTTTTGTATCTTCATGAATTCTTAGAATTATTTTATACTTTGGAATATTCCGTAGGCTGATGCTTTATTTCGGAATGAAATCCCACGTTGTAGTTAATGATTTTGGATGTTTCTATTGATAGTTTAACCCTAACCCCCTAGGGACCATTGAAATCCTGCATAACCTTGTTGGGTTCAGCATGGTGTAATTTACAAATGTAATTTTGAGACATAAAAAGTAAGGAGAAAAAGAAATATTTTTGTAATTAAACATTTTATGTAAATGAATCTGTGCAACTTTAATGTAGGCCTACATGTATGTACATATGTACGTATGTACTTTTAAAATCAGTACAATTATTTAACGTCTTCAAACCACGCACTTAAAAATATCCCCCTAAGTTCGTATGGTATCAAAAGAAATATTTTGTCAACATCTTACGGTGTGAAGTTATTAGGTTTGCGTTTGTGTATTATTATTTCACATTTCCCCATCAAATATGCCTTCGCCCTTGCAAATACTGGGACAAATATAATGAAAAAAGAACACAAAGTAAACCAATTTTTTTTCCTGTTTGGAGTCAATCTCAGGTCAGTGGCATGTATTTTTTACCGTCTTCGTATTTAAAGCCAGATCTTATTGTTTTGAGCACCTTATTTTATCATAGGAACATGCAGTGCGTAATTTGTGTTTACATCAAACATAAAAATAAATGGGAAAAAGGTCCATCAAGCGTATGTTGATCGAAGTTTGTTGATGAAATACAATAATGTATTAAACAGAGAGTAGAATTGTAGTTTGTGTTTGCATGTAAGTATATTATCTTTGTTTAGATTTTGACGACAAACTTAAAATCTTCCCCATTTTTCTCAGGGGGTTACCTTTTCAGAGCTGTTTGTGGCGCAATGTGGAAATCCTGTGCTGCTGAGTTTGAGATCGTGAATTCGAATCCCGGCCAATCGCCTGTTGATTCAGTTTTTAAGTCTGAACCTCAAGGTTAAGTATATTTAAAAAACAGCATACATTCAGAGGGAGCTGTGGCGGAGTGGGTAAGCGCTGTGCGCGAAAATGTAAGAAGTTGGGTTCGAATCCCGGACGGTCACTTTTTTTCTCTTCCACTTTGTAAATTCTAACCCAAGGGTTAAATATAAAAAGACTCAGATGTATTAAAGAGATGTTTGTGGCTCAGTGTGGAGCTGCCGTGCTCGAAAGAGTGGGGTGTTGGGTTCGAATCCCGGAGAGACGCCTTTTTAAATTTCAATTTCCAGTTGTAAATGTGAATCTAAGGGTTAAGTTTAAAAAAAAAGGTAGGTTTCTTCAGAGAGGTTTGTGGATCAGTGAGAAAGTGTTGTGCTTCAAAATAAGTGATGCTGAGTTCGAATCCTGGGAGAGACACCTTTTTAAATTCCAATATACAGAAAAAAACCGAAGTTTAAGTAAGAGAAAATGCCTAAAACACATTGGGGACCCAATTAGCGGAGTGGTCAAGAGCACCGCTTGGGAACCAGAGGACCCAGGTTCAAACCCAAGCAAGGGCGGAGTGGTATGGTGGATAGAAATCCCCTACCACTCCGCCCTCTTTTTATGCCCTTCCCCTGGGGCCGATTTGGGGCCGATTTGGGGCCGATTTGGGGCCGATTTGGGGCCGATTTGGGGCCGATTTGGGGCCGATTTGGGGCCGATTT